GGCCCTGCAACTAGAAGTGATCTCAGAGATTGACTTTGCTAGAGACTGGGGTCATAGACTTTGCCCCATCCTACCCATTTTACAGGTGAGGACACTGAGGCCTGAGAGATTGTGACCCAGCTAGCCATCAGCAGAATAAAAATAACATGCAGCTGAATCATCCTCCATTACGAGATGCTCTTTCCTCTCTTCTCAGGGCTGCTGTCCTTTAAATAAGCTAACACAGGCAAGACGCTCCGTGTGGGCAACAGGTGTTGGATGTTACAGGTACTGTCAGTTAGGCTCCGGGAACTCCAAGTAGGAGGGAAGAAGGGAAGGGTTGGCCTTCCGTGTGACCACAGGCCCTCTGTCTGCTTGCTTTCCCTCTTTGGCTTTTCTTCTCTAGGCCAGAGAAGTAGGGGGACAGGAGAAAATCTGGTTTCTAACGCCAGGGAAGAAAAAAAAGACAGGGAAACTTCTGGAAAATTCTGTAACTTTAGACAGGAAAAAGGCCAGACTCCCCGGCTGCTGACAGCCTTTCAGGCCTGGCTGTAAGAGGTATGTGTGTGTGTGTGTGTGTGTGTGTGTGTGTGTGTGTGTGTGTGTGACTCTGGCCACAGTGAGGGGAGCCGGTGGCTCTCTCCCTCTGTCTGTCCTTCTGTCTTCCATCTCCCTGCCCCGCTCCCGGTTCTCCCATCTCCTCCCTCCACCCATGAGTGCGGGACCCTCAGGAGATAGTGTTCCTGCCGTTCAAGTGTGCAAGGCCAGCCTGGGCAGCTGCCTGCTACGAATGTAGCAGAAGGTAGAGATCCCTCCCGGCCCTGGGATTTCTGGTTCCAAATGGAAGATTCTCTTCTCTCTCAGGCTGGGTGCTTCCTGCAGGAAGCAGTTACCACCTGCCCTTTAGAATCAAGGACAGATGAAGCAGGTGGGTTTGGTCCCCACCCTGGGCACTACCTGCCCACCCACTGCCTCACTCCCCCTCCGAGGAGGGTGTGTACGCAGGCAATGGGGCCACATCTGGGACACGGGCTGGAGGGGTGGGACCAGGAGCCCAGGGCAGTCCAGAGGCTTGGGCGGAGACCTGGCCCCAGAGAAGGGAGACATGAAAGGGGTGTTGAAGACAAGCTGGCATCTGCGTGGAGGCCTGGCTGGGAGAGGAGATTGCCGCCAGCAGCCCAGCCCTGGCTTTCACCTCCTACTCCCTCCCTGACCCTGTTGCTCACGTCAAAGTGGGGACCCCTTCCCCTTGCTCGCTCCCTGAACGGGTCCGGGTCATCACTTTTGGCTCCCTGAAGCTGACGGACAGACGGCAATAGCTCCCAGAGCACTGAAAGAGCAGCTTCAGGCTAGCACAGCCCCGGCGGCCAGAGCTGTCCTCTCCTGCAGCCACTGTCTCGGCTCCCCCGGGACAGACTGCTCAGTGGGTGTTGGGAAAAGGGGGTTCACAGTCTGCTCTGACGCTGGGGTTCAGAGCCCACAGATGCAGGTGGGAGGTGTGGGAGCGGTGAGGGAGCTGAGGACTCTGAAATCCACGTGAGAAAGCCCGTGGGGTGCAGGAATGAGGCCCGCCCCCAGAGCAACGGTGGAGAAGGGGAGGCCGGCAGCTGAGCACACATGTCCGGCACCTGCGGCACATCATCGCAGCCCAGGCTTCCAAGCCTGCCTTCTTTATTTCCCCCCATTATTTATTAAATGACATTTTACCGACCTGCTTTTGTTAGTCAAAATCATACATATCAATCAGTGCTTCTGATCAACAAAGAGATGGCAATGTTTTACTACCTTGAGCCAAAAGCTAAGAACTCTTGATATTTCAGCTGAGCTGTGCAACCACGTGGTGAGTAATTGCATATTTCCATTAGGCTTTTTTTTTAATTGGTGAAAAATTGAAAGTAGCAATGTCTTATAAATGAATGGAGCCTGCAGACTATGGAATGGGCCCCACCAACAGAATTCACAGGTCAAATCTGCTGTCTCTAGGGGAATTGGGAGGAAAGGTGGCCCTTCAACCCCGTGCACAGTTAGGAAGCCCGGAGGTGAGGATGTAGCAACACTCCTCCCAGTAGATTCTGGGACTTCAGAACGGCTAATACTTTGAGAAACAGGCAAGAGAGGCCAGTGAGCATAAATAAATACCTTCAGAGCAGAAGGTATTTATTCCTGAAAGGAAGGTAGGCAAGATCTTTCACTTCTCACTCTCGCGTCTCCCCTGGTGTGCCAGGGACAGTGCTATGATTGGTGGGCTCGGGCCCATAATGCAGATCTGGGATTGATAAGGCAGGGCCCCCGTTATAGGACTGGATGTCATTTTGTCATCCCACCTAAGATGTACTCTTATCTGAGTGTAGCCATTAGGCTTTTTGATAGTTGAGAACGGCTTGATTATACTTTTCATTTCTATAATGAACTTGTAGTACTTTTATAACTGAGTGTTTATGAGTCATATTCTAGTTGGAATACACTCGGCCAGCCTAAACCATGACCTCCCCCCACTACCTCACTCTCCACCTGAGAACAGAAAACCCCACGTTTAAGCTAAATTAAAAGTTAAAGGACCGAGATTTACAATGCTGGGGAAGCCAGTGTCAGGGGTTTCAGGAGGTTAGAGAAAACCAGGGAAAGACTCTTGTGGAGGATACTTGATTATAAAACGTGTTCCCACTTTCAGCCCAGTGAGGGATAAGAAATCTGGGAGACTGTTGCCATCTGGTGGCAAAATGGGAAACTACAATTATTTCTCATTTTGCTTCATTCACATTAACACTGTAATAAAACTAAATTGTACCCTATGAAATTATCTATATCTGACCCAGTGTGACCTTCAAAAATGGAAGCTTACCAAAACAATTCCATGGGAGGAAGAATAATCTTTTCAACAAATGGCGCTGGGACCACTAGCTACCCACATGCAAAGTTAGGGACCTTAATACAACATACTGAAAAATTAATTTAAAATGGATCATAGCCCAAAATGTAACAGCTAAAACTAGAAAACTATTAGAAGAAAAAATAGGATTAAATCTCCGTGACTTTGGATTAGGCAATTTTTTTTATATATGGCACCAAAAGCACAGCCAACAAAAGGAGATATAAATTCAAAATCTAAAACTTTTGTGTTGCAAATGTTATAATTTTTTAAATGGAAGGACAACACACAGAAAGGGAGAAAATATTTGCAAATAATATACCTGATAAGGGACTAGCATCCAGAACACATAAAGAACTTTTACAATAATAAAAAGATAACCCAGGGCTTCCCTGGTGGCGCAGTGGTTGGGAGTCCGCCTGCCGATGCAGAGGACGCGGGTTCGTGCCCCGGTCCGGGAAGATCCCACATGCCGCGGAGCGGCTGGGCCCGTGAGCCATGGCCGCTGAGCCTGCGCGTCCGGAGCCTGTGCTCCGCAACGGGAGAGGCCACAACAGTGAGAGGCCTGCGTACCGCAAAAAAATAAAAAAAAAAACCCAATTTAAAAATGGGCAAAGGATTTGAAGACATTTCTTCAAACAAGATATATAAATGGCTAATAAACACATGAAGACATGCTCAATATCATAAGTCATCAGAGAAACGGAAATCAAAACCACAGTGAGAAACCACTTCACATCCTCTAGGAGGCCCATAGTCAGAAAGATAGGTAATAACAAGTGTTGGTGAGAAATTGGGTGTGTAAAGTGGTGCAACCCCTTTGGAAAATAGGCTGGCAGTTCTACAGAGTGTTGAGCAGAGTTAACATTTGCCCCGTAGTTACCATGTGACCCAGCAATTCTACTCCTAGTTATGTACCCAAGAGAAATGAAAGCATACACCCACACAAAAACTTATACATGAATGTTCATACCAGCATGATTCATAACGAAAAAGGGGAAACGATCATCAACAAATGAATGGATACACAAAATTCGGCATACTTATATGATGGAGTATTATTCAGCAATTAAAAGAAGTGAAATACTGATACATGTTACAACAAGATGAATCTTGAAAACGTGCTGAGTAGAAGAGGCACAGAAGATCATATATTGCATGATTCTATGTATATCAAGTACCGAAAATAGGCAAATCTATAGAGGCAGAAATAGGAGAGTGGCTGGCTCTGGCTGAGCGGGAATGGGGAGTGACTGCTAAATGGATATCGGGTTTCTTTTCGTGAGGATGAAAATATTCGAAAATTAGACTGGGGTGATAGTTGTCCAACTCTAGGAATATACAAAAACCATTGAATTTTACACTTTAAATGGATGAATTTTATATGAAGCATGTGAATTTTACCTCAATAAAAATGGCAAATTTAACCTGCTTTAATCTAACATTACATTAATTGGGCGCTTGCCGTGTCAGGAACTCTTCTGGGAACTTAACATGAATTATTTCAATTAATCCTTAAAATATCTGTGTCATAGAGGTACTATTATTATACCCATTTTGAAGGTGCATGAACTGAAGCTCTGATAAGTTAAATAAGTTATCCACGGTCGTACCAAATAAACATCAGCGCCATTTGAACCCAAAGCCCATCTGGCTCCAGAGCCTGAGAGCTACCACAGACCTAGGGCTGCCTCTCTGTTCAGTAGCCACTTTACAAGGGTTTACAGATATAGGGCTTGGGGGCCAGACACAAAGATGAAAGCCCTGGGGCCTGCCCCCGGGAAGCTCACAGGCTGGGAGAAGGCAGACATGATTACAGGTAATGGTTAGGATGCGCTGTAGTAAGCGTGGAATGATGAAGATGGGCACACCTTGCGGTGCTCTGGGGACACGGGGTAACCGCCACCCTCCGCTCCTCCCTCTTGGATGCGTGGATGTGTAACAGCACTGACATAGGACTGGGACGGCCACCCCAAACCTCTTCCTCCCCCTTTTACTGTCAACCCACCTCATCTACCCCACCACTCAGACAGGCTCCCTGGGAGGCACCCTAGACGCTCCTCCTACCCCACCCACGTCAACCCCTAATCAGCTCTACCCATGCTCCTTCCCAGCTGTATCTTGAGCCTGTTTACTGCGCGCCCAGGGCCCCACTCTAGTGCAGCCACCGTCACTTGTCAGCTGGGCCATGCCGTGGGCCTCTTCACCAGTCTCCCCGCTCCTAGTCCGGCTCCCACAAGACAGTCTGCACACACCCACTGAGGAGTCGACAGTGCGAGCAGCGGCAGGTCAAGAGCCCCACAGGTGTGAAGAGTGGCAATGAGGTGAGTTGGGGGGAGTGTTAAAGGGAGGTGATATGAAGTGTGGACTTGTGGTGTGTGTGGAGTACACACGTGTATGGACTGACGTGGGCTGGAAGGCATGGGGTACCTGTGTATTTAGGACATGTTTACTGTAACTGTGAACACACAGCATAGAAAATCCCCCCAAAAGAAGATTCACCCTACTGTGTGATCACCCCTGATGAAAACCCCAGGGATTTAATCTACGCTGTGGATCGTAGCACAGAAGAGTGCACCACGTGGTGTTCGAGAGAGGAAGTGAACAGAAATATCTCAAGACTGCTGGTCCAAGAGGAGCCTAAGGCCCCAGCTGATGGAGGCATCTATACAGACAGCCACCAAGGAGACAGGTGAAGGGGTCCCTATATAGGACATGGAGAGATGACTCAGGGAACTGGGGGTACAGAGGGGAAACAAAGTTGTACAGTAAGGAATTTGCCTGGTTTTTGTCCCTGGCTCCTGGAAGGAAGCCTCTAAAACCTTGGAATGATAGGAGTGTCTTCGTTACTCACGGTGGGGCCCTGACAATTTGTGTAACCCGTGGGGAGTGTCAGGGTGGAGGCCATGTCAATAGACCAACCTTGTGATTAGAGGGTTCGGGCTCCGAGATGGAAAGGGGAGTTGGATTGAGTTCAATTACTAGTGGTCAGTGATGTAATCAATCAAGCCTACATGATGACACCCCAGTAAAAACTCCAGGCACTGAAGCTACATGACCTTTATGGTTGGCAATACACATCCGTGTGCCAGGAGGGTGATGCATTCTGACTCCCCCGGGAGAGGCCATGGTAGCTTCATATTTCGAACCCTCCCAGACTTTGCTCCATGAGTCTCTTCTTTTGGCTGGTCCTGATTTGTATTCTTTTATTGCTGTAATAAGCCTGTAATAGTAAGTATAGCACTTTCCTGAGTTCTGGGAGTCATTCTAGAGGATTATCGAGCCTGAGGAGGTAGCAGGAACCCCTGAATTTTTAGCTATTTGGTGATGGGGTTGAGGACATGCTACCCCAAAATCTGGCACCTTGAATATTTTAAGTTGAAGAAGTTTGAGAAAACAGCAGAAGCAGGAAACTCGTTTTGACCTCCTCCTCTCCTTGCCCTTCTTCCCTGAAACAGGTCATAAACCGTCATGTGAGAGGTGCCCTCCCCATACCTGGAGAAAAGGAGCATCCGTATCTCCAAAGGCTGAGTCGCCAAGAAGAATCCTAACTAACAGGCCTTGTGAAGCTTCCCCCAGTTACTACAATTACTTCCTCCCCCTAACCCATCACATTCCTCCCTGATGGGCCACTCTTCATCAAAGCTAGCGTGAAAATACACAGGTATTTTTCTGGGTCTGTTTCTCTGGGTCTTCATTTCTTTATGAAAACTCTCATGCCACGTAAAACTTGTATCAAATAAATTTGTATGTTTTTCTCCTGTTAATCTGTCAGTTCAATTTTTAGACCCAGCCAGGGACCCTAAGAGGGCCGTGGAAAGCTCATTCCTCCCCTTGATTAGTCGGAAGTGCGGTGGCCTGGGAACCCCCGAGCTTGCAGCTGGTGTCTGGACAGGAGTCCCGTGCAGCACTGTGCCCTTAACCTGTGGAATCTGGCCTCACTCTGGGCAGGTGGTGTGGGAAGTACACTGCGTTGTCCATCCCACTGACAGCGGAAGAGGGGAAGAGGTGTCTGCACCCACAGGGCATGCTCCGCACAAGCACAGACAGAGGGCCGTGTCTGTATATCCTACTGGGAGCTCTAGCTAAAAGTGGCCCAGAGAGCCAAGGGCAGCCAACTGAGAAAACATGGGGGTGTGTTTTGAGGTGTTCTGTCGTAGTTACACCAGCCCTCCACTGTCCAGAGCCCAGGGACCCAGGATGGTCCCAGCACACCCTGAGCTTGGTTTCTGTGGGAACGAGCAGGTTGCCTGTGACCCTACTTCTTACCGGCTCTGCCACTCCACCTTCCCCCTCTATCCCGTCGTGGTTGAAGGCTGGGGAGGGTGACACTGGTGCCCGGGGAAGTAGGACATAAGTGCATATTCAGAGAATGGGTTTAGAAGGAAGGAGGGCAGACTTGGTGACTAACTGGATTTGAGGGCAGGTGTGAGAGAGGAGTTGAGGGTGATTCCCAGGACAGTGGTGATACCATTTAACTAAGGCAAGAGCAGGAGAGGACGACCAGGTCTGGAGAGAGAAGACGAGCGGTGTGAGCACGATCTGGGGGGCCGATAGAGAATCTCAAGGGGTGATGCCCATGGGCAAATGGATATAGAGATCAGGAGCTCACAGGAGAGACCAAGGTCAGAGAGAGATTTAGAGGCAGCAGCATACAGGCAGAGGTTTCCAAAGCCGATCCAGCTCAGCTGCCAGGTCACCTGGGTGAGAAACTGGATGCACAGACGGAGCCCTGAGGCCGGAGCCCTTCAAGGAGCCTGGAAGGAAATCAAGTGAGGAGATGCGAGAGGAGTTCACGGAATCAAAGCGAGCAAGGAGGCAGAGCAGGAGAGATGGGTTCTAAATGTAAAGACAAGGTACGGTGTGATGATTGAGGAGAGTGCCTTGCCGGCTCAGGCTGGGGGGTGCCCAGCCTGGAAAAAACCTAGCTGGCGAGCAGCAGGTGGGGAGTGCTGGGGTGAGTCTGCCCTACAGCCCCCTAAGCAAAGCAGCTGGCTCTTCCCAGAGGCTCACAGTGGGCATTTGTGGGGAAGCTAAAAATAAAAGCCCAGATGGGCAAGGGATACTGTTTTTCATTATAAGCCTTTTAGTTCTTGATTTTTAAAAAAATCATGTGCATGTAGAACTTTAATAAAAAGAATGAAAAACTACTTTCTTATTAATTATATGATTTAATACCAAATCCAATCTTTTCACCGGCTCTAACCAATGTTTCATTTTAGGCATGTTCCAGCCTCCCTTGGATGTAGCCCACCTTCCCAGGCCACGCCAACCTGGGATAAAAGTTCTCTTAGATTATCCTGGATAACTGCTATACCCAGCAAGACTTAGAAACCACAGACAGGTAAGGGGAGAGCACTGTCACTCCGCGCCCTGCCCTAGCCGCCCAGCAGTCGGGAATGCCGCGAGCAGACTGCTGCAGGCTGGTGCTGTCCCACCTCTTCCAGACGACACCTGCAGCCCGGGCTGCCCTACATCTGGACTGCCTGGTCCCTTTGGGGGCGGTTCCCAGGTTCCTGGGGTTTCTCCAAACACTCACAAAACCAGGGGTCTTCTTCAATTGCCTCCCCAATTCAAAGTCAATTATCAGTATTTTCTAAGTGTCACGTTCTTGTACCTTTATCTCGAGGAGCATGGTTTACTAGAAATAGAAACAACAGCCAACAGTTTTAGGCCTTACAGAAACAAATACAGTAAGTCCCCTACATACAAACCTTCAAGTTGCGAACTTACAAAGATGCGAACGTGCGTCTGCATGTCCAATCACGTAAGTTAGTTCACATGTCTGGCATACATTGTCACATGCCTGCATCCTCTGTAAGTGGTTGTGCTTCTGTGCACTTTACTGTATAGTACTGTATAAAGTATAGTGGTACAGTGTCTTTATTTCAAGCTCAAGATGTCTGGAAGCAAGAGTAAAAGCAGTGGTGATGTAGCTGGTACTGCAGCTTGCCCTCCGTCTCCTGTTGCTGACGATCCTTCAGCTCTACCGCCTCCCACCTCCTCTCCCTCCTCCAGTCAGTAACTCTTCTTGCCTCTTCACTCGATGCCAGCCCCTGGATGCCAGCTGTTGTACTGTATACTACTATACATTTCAAGGTACTGGACTGTAAGATTTAAAATGTTTTTTTGTTTGTTATGTATTATTTGTGTGAAAAGTGTTTTAAACTTATTATAGTACAGTACTATATAGCCAACTGTGTCAGTTGGGTACCTAGGCTAACTTTGTTGGACTTACGAACAAATTGGACTTACAAACATGCTCTCAGAACGGAACTCGTTCATATGCAGGGGACTTACTGGACAGTTATTTCATCTGTGCTTTTAAAGTTCAATCCATCATGCATGGTAAAAGGCATCATGGAAACAGGAAAGTGGGTTTTTAGAAAGCTGTATTATCAACACAGAGAGAACACCTAACGACTGTTCTTGGGGCTTCTCCCCAACTGTGCTGTCACTCCGAGTTTTCTCAGCTCAGCCAAAGTAACATGAGGTGTATTTGTTTGCAAGATGGTACTGCTGCAAGAAATAAGATGGGAGCTAGCTGGATGGCCGAGATAACTTCCTCCCGCAGGGTGCTCGGCTCAGCATCTCCCTCCTGAGACCCAAGGATAGGCTTGCTTCCAAAACAAAGGAGATTCAAAACGCCGGCAGCCCCCTCACAACCACATATTTACAGATTAATCAAAGCCATCCCCTAGTCTAGAAAGGACAGATGCTACATGGAGCTAAAATGTCAACTACTGATCCAGAACTTTCAAGATGATCCCTTTCCCCAAACTTCTACACCATTCTTTTTTTTTTTTTTTTTTTTTTTTTTTTTTTGCGGTACGCAGGCCTCTCACTGTTGTGGCCTCTCCCGTTGCGGAGCACAGGCTCCGGACGTGCAGGCTCAGCGGCCATGGCTCACGGGCCCAGCTGCTCCGTGGCATGTGGGATCTTCCCGGACTGGGGCACGGACCCGTATCCCCTGCATCGGCAGGTGGACTCTCAGCCACTGCGCCACCAGGGAAGCCCTACACCATTCTTTAGATTGCAAACAGGCAGCCTGCAGACCAAATCCAACCTACAAATATGTTCTGCTTGGCTATCCAAGTGTTTTTTTAAAAATTCTGATTTAGTTAGCAATATACTGGGAGATTTCACATAAATATCTGGGTTTCCTGACTCTGAAAAAAGTTAGGACTTCCCTGGTGGTCCAGTGGTTAAAACTCTGCACTCCCAATGCAGTGGGCCCGGATTTGATCCCTGATCAGGGAACTAGATCCCACATGCCACAACTAAGAGTTCGCATGCCACAGCTAAAGATCCTGCATGCCATAACAAAGATCCCGCGTGCCGCAACTAAGACCTGGTATAGCCAAATAAATAAATAATTTAAAAAGTTAGAAAATCTGTTCCCACAGAGCAACCCTCAGCTGGAGCTAACAACTGCCCTCTTTAGACATGTGGGTGCTCCCCACCATGGCCTTACACCCTGCTTGCTCCACTCGTTTTTGTTACCTGCCTGCCATTCACTCCTGCTTTGCTTGCTCACTGAACACCCCTTCGCAGGCTCCACAGTCACTAGCACAGTAAGGGGCCCGAGCTGAGGCTGAAGGGAATCCTTGTAGTCTATGATCGCTGGCTACAAAATCTGAGACTGAACAAATAAAGCAGGAAGGCTTTGCTGATAGATCCTGCAGCTCCACGAGGACAGCAGAAGCTGCTTCTGAATCTCTATGAGCTAGACCACCATTATGTTCTCTCCAACCACAGGAGCTTTCCTGACAGAACAAGAGCTTTATTGTTGGGTAAAAACAGTTCCTGATCACAGATTCTGTGCTTCAGTTCTCCTGGTCCTGAGCTCTCTTCCACACTGAAGCAGGGAGACTGCCTGCTGGCTTTTCCAGCATGTGGCCAGAGTGTCGAAAAACAGACACTAGTCCCCAGTAAGAGCCCTGAAGCAGCTGTTTTTTCAACTCATCACACCTGGCTCTTCTGGAGTCTGTCCCAAGTGAGAAGTTAGCAGAGTCCCTTAAACAGAGAGAAGAATTCAGGGCAAACTGCCCAACTGTCTTCACTGTGCTCCTGAGTGTGTGGCTTCCTCGTCCCCATTTTGATCCCGACTCGGCATCTTTAAGCCCAGACGGCGCAGGGAATGGACAAAATATCGAGGAGGCTTGCAGACCAAGTTGAGTTCCTCCTTCCCGGCCTGCAGGGCAGGCAGAGTCAGCTGGCAGGCATGCAGGTGAAGGGGGATGTGACGGGCCTTGGACTGCCGCAGCCCCAGCTTCTTCAGGATGCAGGCGGACAGCTTCTGTGCACAGGAAAGAGCTCGTGAGCGCAAGGCCAACAGCTCCAGTGTGCGGGGGCAGAAGACCTCCACTCAAGGGGCCCCCTCACTAACTCCCAGAAGACACAGTGATGGACAGCCTGCTTCGGGGCCATTTCTAGGAAGAGTTCAGAGCCCATGTATGAGAAAACCCACCACACCAGGGAAGTTCTCCTTGGCCAATTCTCTGGCTTTCCAAGAGAATGGGCTGTAACAGCAAAAAACAAAGTTCCCACCAAGGCTCTTTCGCTGTAGCATGAAAGCCTGCTTTGAGCCTTCAGAAAGTCTCCTAACTGCTTCTCAATTTCTCCAGAAGCTAGATAACTAGCATGGTACTGTGTCGGAAGACAATCAACACATCTTTGCTGTGACTCACTTCAGGGACTTAACAAGGGGGAAGCATAAGTTCTCCCCCTTATTCTGCTGCATATTGGGTCAAACATATATTACCTGGGGGGCCAGCCTGTTCCAGTCTGAGTACTTGTGGTCACCAAGGATCGGGCAATCCAATCCAAAAGACAGGTGAACTCGAAGCTGATGTTTTATTCCTTTAAAAAAAGAGAGGGAGGAAACTTAGGAGTAGCTATTGAAACAATACCACTGGTGGCATCTGCTTCTAACCATATTAAACCAAAGGACAGTAAAACGGGCAAAGCCCCAACTACAATAAGGTATAAAGAATAATATAGCAAACAATAGGCTATTAGGAAATAAACATTATAAATGCTGTTAAGCCTCTAAGTACCCCTCGCCACCACAGTTCCCTTTCCACCAGATAACCACTATCAACTTGGTGTCTATCATTGCCATGCTTTTTTTTTTTTAATAATTGTGTTGTATAACACTAAATAGTATTGCTTTGTACATTTATTTTTTTTACTGTGGCAAAATATACCTAAAATTTACCATTTTAACCCTTTCTTTTAATATAAATTTATTTATATATTTTTGGCTACATTGGGTCTTCGTTGCTTCGTTGGGTCTTCTTTCTCTAGTTGCGGCGAGCTGGGGCCACTCTTCGTTGTGGTGCACGGGCTTCTCATTGCAGAGGCTTCTCTCATTACGGAGCACGGGCTCTAGGCGTGTGGGCTTCAGTAGCTGTGGCTCACAGGCTCAGGAGTTGTGGCTCGCGGGCTCTAGAGCACAGGCTCAGTAGTTGTGGCGCATGGGCTTAGTTCCTCTGCGGCATGTGGGATCTTCCCGGACCAGGGATTGAACCTGTGTCCCCTGCATTGGCAGGCAGATTCTTAACCAATGCACCACCAGGGAAGTCCCATTTTAATCGTTTTTAAGAGTACAGTTCGGTGGCACTGAGTACATTCACATTGTTGTGCAATCACTACTACAGTCCCTCTCCATTGCCCCCAACTGAAACTCCGTACCCAGTTAACAATAACTCCCCGCCCCCTGCTCTCTCCAGCCCCTGGTAACCATTACTCTACTATCTGTCTCTATGAATCTGACTACTCTAGGTATCTCATATAAATGGAATCATACAGTATGTGTCCTTTTGTGTTTCATTTAGCATAATGTCTTAACGTTTATCCATGCTGCAGCATGTGTCAGAATTTCCTTCCTTTCTAAGGTTGAATTACATTCCACTGCATGATGTACCACATTCTGTTTTTCCACTCATCTGTTGATGGACATGTAGGTTGTTTTCACCTTTGGGCTATTGTGAATAGTGCTGCTATAAACACCAGCGTACAGCTATCTCTTTGAATCCCTGTTTTCAATTCTCCTGCATATACACAGGAAGCAGAATTGCTGGAGCATAGGGTAATCCTATGCTTCATGTTTCGAGGAATCAATCTGCAAATTTTTAAATAAACGTAAGTAAACCATTTATTTATTTATTATTTTTTGAAGGGAAGAATTGATTTATTCTATCATTTTAACTGAATATTTCTCACCCACCCAGGAAACTGATTAAGAGTAGAGTCTGCCTAAAGCAAACTATTTGTATCCTTCTGCTACCTACTGTTTTTTGTTTTTTGCTGTACGCGGGCCTCTCACTGCTGTGGCCTCTCCCGTTGCGGAGCACAGGCTCCGGATGCGCAGGCTCAGCGGCCATGGCTCACGGGCCCAGCCGCTCCGCGGCATGTGGGATCTTCCCGGACCGGGGCACGAACCCGCGTCCCCTGCATCGGCAGGCGGACTCTCAACCACTGCGCCGCCAGGAAGCCCCTACCTACTGTTTTTAACAATCATCCCTATGGAAGCTCCCAGCCTCAGGTCAGCACTGGAAGCACACTCTGGCGCAATCCCAGAGCCCCCATAATACCAGCTGCTCAGGGGAGGGGCGGAGCCTGGCACAAGGCCCTGGGTGAAGCTGAGGGGCAGTGGGGCTTCTCCACCCACTGCAGAACACTGGCACCCTCACCGGTAACAGGCTGGAGCTCCAAGAGGGCGGAGGAGAGGGCGCTGCTCAGCACCCGGTACTGAGTCACAGCCAGGTGTGCATTCCTGCTGGTCCGTACCCTCACTGTCTTCCCATTGTCCATGCAGTAGCTCGGGGACAGCGTCATCTGGAGCCAAAGAAATCAGGACACAATTTCGAAGAAAGAGCAGCAAACCCATCCCTCTGGAGGCGCTCACCCACCTTGTGGTGGCGTTCCTGGCCCTGCACCTCCTTCTCAATGATGGGAATGTCCACGACTCCCGCTGAGGGCACCGGGACGCGCATCGTGATGGCCCTGAGGGGACACACACAGACCCTTGCTTAAGCCACAAAGGTGAGTGAGGCTCTCCTTGCATCGGCTACTTAGAGGCTTTAACTCTGGACCTCCTGCACTACTGCGGTCAGTTCTTAAGATCAGAGGGTCCCAAATGATCTCTTGGCATAGTGCTTAGCCTGAGAGTTTGACGCTATCCTTATAAGCTTATCTTTTTTACAACTAAACTAATATGTGCTGATTGTAGAATATTTGGGGAAAAAACAGAAAAACAAGAAAAAAACTGTATTAACAACACGGTCACTCATCCAGCCTTTAAAAGTGAGTATGTACAGCTTAAAGTAAAACTAGGGTAATACAGTTTTGTATCCTGTTTTTCTTTTTTAAATAATAAAAGATGGTAAGTTCGAACTGCATATGGAATAAATGAATAAATGAATGAATTGAGTGAAAATTTCACAGGACCGCTCCTGCCTATTTGCCAGGTCAATAAAACAGAGGAACTGTGCTCAGAAGAGTCTCAGGAATCCCAACCACAGCTCAGTAAATCCCTCTTGTTGGAGGTTTCCCTCCATCACACCACAGACAGGCAGAAGACTCTTTAATCTGTCCTTACGTCCATGCCTCTTCCAGTCAGTCAATCAGCTCTCCTGGGTACTTGGTGGCCTAACACAGAATCACTGGCCCAGGAGTCACAAGCCCAGATATAACATTGCGCACCCTGGACACCCCACTGCAGACTGGTAGCAGTTTAGGCTGCTATCTGATACATTCTATCATACTTACACTGAGTTGGAACTATGAGTTGACCCTTTCTAACGACCTAACACTACTGCTGTTGTCTGACATTTTACCAAAGGAATGAAATCATGTATACTCATATAATTAATTTTTAATAATTTTTATGTACAGCCATAATTAGGACCCACTATGCCACCAGACTCTAATATTCTAAGCACTAAACCTGTTTCCTATAATTTTTATATGCCCACACGTCTGACTACAGTGCCTTCTATTACTAGGAGTTCCTGCTCTATGAACGGATGAATAGATGGAAGGGTGCCTACACCACCTCGACCGCTATCGATGGGCTTCATACCAGTACTTCTTTGTCACCTGACGGGTTCTAAACAACTCTTGGACTTGATGCGCCACGTCTTTTTCCCAAGCCAACACCATTACGCCTGTAGTTTCCTTGTCCAGCCGATGGCACAGATGCAAGGGCTCTGCCTTGTGGCCGTGAAGCATCTTCGCCAGGACAGGCAGTACATCACTGATGCAGAGCCGGACCCCAGGGCCACCTAAGAAGGAAAAAGCCAGAGGTTTGAGTGGCCAGGAAAAGATCTCACCAAAGACCTCTACCTGGGACAACAGTCCTTACTGGATTAACAGTAAATGCTTTCTAGAGCCTTATTACTGAATTGTGGTCCAAGGACTAGAAACATATCAGTCTGCCCAGGGAGCTCGCTAGAAAGGAATCTCAGGCCTCCAACCCAGACTAATTAATCAAAATCTGCATTTAAACAAAAGGCCCAAGTGACTCATATGCATATTAAAGTTTAAAAAGCACCATCCTAGAGCACGTGGCTTTCTCCTCAGACCTATATGTGTATACATATATATATATATATATTTAATCTACTTATGTACTCATACTAAAATTAGCAACCAAAATGATGAGATCTGATATTTCACTATATAAACAAAGGCTTGAGAATTTGCCAAGTAAACCCTAGTGAGAAATGCAAGACCATGAGGCCTTCCTGAGGCATTACAGAAGAGCTGAGAGGCTGGGCTTTGGGGTGAGACGTTCCTGGGTTCCATCCTATGGACCCTCACAACTAGCCATTGACCTTGGACAGATTACTTACTCTTTCCAACTTTCAGTTTTCTCATCTATAAAATGTAAATATCTTGATAATAGTTATCTCTTGGGGAACGGAAAGGCAAGCTACTGGAAGGATCAAGAGAGAAAAAAACCATACAAAGCACTCAGCAATGTCTGATTTAATTCGTTGTTTTCATGTACAACCTTCTCCATACCTCCCCCCAAAACATTCGTTCTTCTAGCTAAAATATGCCTATTCCCCCAGCAAAACCCTTTCCACAAATGCATTTTTTTCTATCAGTCTTTCCTGACTCACCCTAGCTGTCTCTGACTACATTTAACATTTATTCAAAAACATTAGGGTTTCCATTAAGTTCTAGGCACCCTGGGGTTTTGTTAGGTATACACCAACACATGTTATGTCCTCTTTCCCAGTTCTGATGGAAAATAATCTGAAGACAGGAACCACACAGCCTTTGTCCTTCTCTATAGCAATCCTCGGTGGAGGTCTGCACACAGCAAATTCCATAAATCACTGCTGGCTGCCAGATGTTTGGAAGGTGGGGACTGTCTTATTTATCTCTGCGTCCTTACTGGTTCCTCACAGAGGACAGTACCCCACAAAAGTTTAATTATTTTGAAAGCAAGGCTTCAGAGAGCCCCCCGAGTAATGTTAGAGTTGCCCCTACGTGTAGCACAAAGCAGCAGCGGCCCGCCTCCCTTCCCCACATGCTGCTTACCATGCACAGGGAGACCGTAGGGCTTATTGATGACCACAAGGTCCTTGTCCTGGTGGATAAGTCCTCGGCTCAGCGCCTTAGCAAGCACGTTGGGGTGGACGCGCTGCAGCTGCTCTGTGAACTGCAGTAGTTCTTGCACTCTCCTTTGAACAGGGTTTGTGGGCACCTGCGGGGAGAGAAGGAGCGACGGTAAATGCCTGGTGGGGAGGACTTTCAGTAAGTCTGGGTGAGAATTTGGGAAGGGAACGCCTGTATTTTTGCATTAGACTCGCCCCGTCCCCGAGTGATTTGAGCGCAGGGGTGGGTGTGTCTCGCCTGTACCCACGTAGTGCTTAGGGCCGGGGTCGGCAGGAGCCAGAGACCCAGCCCACAGGAAGATACCGCACCCTTCTGAGCTCTCCCCTCCGCTTTCTCCCCATTCTCCCACCACAAGTCCTCGACATTGATTACTTGACATGTGTCAGAGGACCCTCCCACCTCCCTCCCGGCCTGGGAAACCAGTGAGCGCACTGCCTCTTGGGAGTTGTGGTCCTTCTGGGCTCACCGGCTTCTTCGTCTTTTGTTCCTGTTTCTGGGCTCGAAGCCTCTCCGCTAATCGCTGGGCATCCAGGGGCCGAGAGGCAGCAGCAGCGGAACAAAGTGGCTTTGAGACGAAAGTGAAGAGATTCCCCAGACGCTGCCAGGAACCCCGTACCCAGACGCCAGGCGCACTACAGCTAGGAGCCGCCATCTTGCCGAGCTAAGCCCACGCACAGAAGACGGACTAGAGGGAGGAAGGAGTAGGTGGGCCCTGAGGGTCACGTGGGGCGGTCGGGGCGGGGTCCCGGGCGAGTCACGTGGGGGCGATGCGCGCTAAGTGCGGCTGCGTTGGCCGGTAGCTGCAACTGGAGCGGTTGTGTTCGGAGGAGACGCGGTGAGTGTGTGGAGAAGCCGGGTTGGGGCTGGGAAATGCCGGTGCCTCAACGCTTTAACGTTTCCGCGTCTCCAGCGCTTCCGTTCTCGGAGATCCCTATCTTGGGAAACCGTTTCTCCCTTTAAGAGACGACCCCACTCAAAACTGCCTCCCCGCCCCCGGGAGAAGCGTGCCCCATGAACACTCGCCCCAGAGCCGTCTGAGGCGCCCACCTCGTCCGTTTTGGCAGCCACGTCCCGGGTGCTCGGCCAATCCCTCGAGGGACGCCTCGCGTCCTTTTTTTTTTCCTTACCGCTCGACCTTCGGAGACGCGGGATCTCTGAAGCCTCTCCACCCCTCATCTCCTGACTCCCAACCTCTTTGTTTCACGTTGTAACTAGTCCTTCTCTCCCAGGGGTGATGGGGAGCCCTTCCGTTATCCACGGGTCCATATTTTCTTCCTAGGGAGCACCTTGAGTTTCTTCTGCCTTCTTCAAGAATTCATTTCGTGGCGTCTCCTCCGTCCCTCCCCCCACTGCTTCCAAAGAAAAGACAAAGTACAGAGCAGGAATCTTCCCTTCCCTTTTCCACTTCTTTCGTTTTCTCCATCCCTGGTTTGTAACTTGCTCCAGACCCTCTCCTTCTCTTACAAGGTGCGGTGTTGGGACTCCCATGCCCAAACTGCCAGGGACTTCACTAAGTCAAGACCCTGGGACTTCACTAAGGGGTGGCAGGGAAGAGGAACATCTGGTTGGGATAGTAATGTTAAAGGAACCTGGGAACAGACCTGCCATTTATTAAGAAAAAAGCTGATGCCGAGCCCTGACGAGATCTCAGGAAAGTAACGCATCTGTGCTGACGATAGAGGAAACGGTTTTTAAGACTGCTTAGGATGAAGGCTGCCTGAGGAGTTAGAGGAGGTAGTGGAATTAAGTTTGCGTCCTACCCCTCTAAAAAGGATTGGCAGAAGGGAGCCCTGTAGAGCATGAGATAAAGTTGAACAGGTAAGTGGAGCTAGCCTATAGAAGACTTTTAACTGGAAGAAGGGTTTGAACTAGATGTGGTAAGCAGGGAGGAGTCTTTGAAGATGCTAGAGCAGGAGAGAGACTCCTTGGAAGTGGAATTCTGGAAATGAATCTGGCATTTGAATGCAGGACAGATTGAAAAGGAGAGGGCTTTGATAACTGGGAAATCAGCTAGGAAGCTGCAATCTGAGTGCTCAGTAGAAAGGCTGTGCTTCGTTCACTGGTTTTTTTATTTTTTGCGGTACGCGGGCCTCTCACTGCTGTGGCCTCTCCCGTTGTGGGGCACAGGTTCCGGACGCGCAGGCTCAGTGGCCATGGCTCATGGGCCCAGCCGCTCCACGGCATGTGGGGTTTTCCCGGACCGGGGCATGAACCCGTGTCGCCTGCATCGGCAGGCGGACTCTCAACCACTGCGCCACCAGGGAAGCCCCGTTCACTGGTCTTTTTCCCTACACTGTACTGTCCTTTGAGTGTGAATTGGTTTTGAGTTGTACAGGTCAAGATGTACTATTGACAGCTGCTGTTGAACTGTGAGTGCCTTAAGGACTCATTCATTTTTTTTATCCCCCGCATCTGGTACAGAGTAAATTCACAAATATCCCTTGGCTGGCTGAAGTGCGTCAGAGGCATGGGTTAGGTGTGTCTGAACATTTTGAATGATCTAATTTCTGTCTATTTTTGACCTAAAGATTGGAGGTAGGAGTACATGTATTTGTAAAGAGGGGGAAAGAAGACCTGTGTATGTTTCTGTAATAAGAGAGGTGATCGGGGTATAAATGTGAAGAATTCGAAGGCAGATTGAGAAACAGCTTCTCTCCTACTGTTTTTTCCCCCCTGCAAATTCCCAGGAAAGACACAGATCTAGAGAAGTTGAGAATTACTACCTTTTACTGATAATGTCCCAGACCCAGGTTCTAATTTCACTGAGCAGTCACACATCACGTGTTACATAAGTATGTGAAGACTCCTTTCCAGGGACTCTGAAATTTGGACATCAGGACTTAAATTCGTATCGTTACATTAATTACAAGCCTGTTTTAGGTGTAGGACTTTTATGGTTTTGGGGGGGGGCTGGGGAGCCTTTTTCTGCCTTAACCTGTCCTTAATGGCATTCAAGAAGTGACCCCTGTTCCTGCAGAATTGGCCTTCTGTGGCAGGAAACAAAATGAAGAACCAACTCAGATGTCATTGTCAGTGACACAGAGCTTGTGTTCTTGGGTTTCAGGTTAACCCAAGGCACACACTATAGTGCCTAGGCATAAAAACACTGGTCTCTTTTTTTCTGGAGAAGGAACTTTTAGGTTTTTCTTGTTGAAACTTTGTAAGAGAAATTTGAAGAATTCAGAGTTTTTGTTTGCTTGGTATCACAGTACAGCTTTAGCCAATGTGGGTACAGAAGTTTGGCTCCTTACTGTTTATCCTTTGAGCCTGGCCACTTGTTGATTTGAAATAGAGTTGCTCTCAGTACACAAGAATTTATGTAAAGATATATATTACCTCCTTTCTCTTCCTCATTCAGGTAATCCTGTTTTAGATAGCGCATTTTTCCACTTCTGCACTAATCTCATATTCTCTTTTTGGTTGGGGACTCTTCTTATCTGGACGGTTTTCTCAGTATAAGGAGGGAAATTCTGTTAGTGGTGTCTTCATTCTTACAGAGTACGAACGTGGCTTATCTACCTAGATCTTGATATATCATAATATGTGCCCCCCCCATAACCATATAAAGAAGAACTTGATAATTTGTTTTTAAGGATATTTTCTAACCTGTGCAAGAACAACAAAGCCTTCTTGTTATTTCATAAATACAAACAGGGACTAACAAAAGAACTTGTGTCTAAATATCCCAAATTTAAGGTTAATTAGTGGCATGAGGTTAAATTCTGGTTCCTTGAACAGCGATTTGCTAGTTGCAGATTAACCAGCGATTCAGTTTCCCTGAGGAGCAGGAAGTACTTGGATATTGTTTTATGGCTTTAGAGAGATTCAAAGAAGCAATTAGCAGTTCTCTGGAGGTGCCCTGGAAAGAGCAGTTGTCGGCAGCTGGGAGATCTGGGGCCTGGTCCCAGTTCAGCTGCTTGTGAACTTGAGCGAGTAATTTGGGCTTCAGTTATTTGTCTTTTAAAAGAAGATCCTTACTAGCTCTAAGCTTCTATCAAGATTTTCCACTGACACTTAAGTGCTTCTCTTTCTTAACAAGTGGAATTTATTTCAGACTTAACCTTGAGTACATTTAGCATTGGCACAGAGAACCAGGATTTTAATCCTGTCCCCACAATTTAACCTTATGCCACTGAGCTAACATTTATGTTTGGAGGTTACTTCATTGAGTGCTGCTGGAATACACCTTCAGATTTCCTAGGTGGGTTGTGGAAAGGAGTGCAGATAGAAAAAAAAATAGAAAACAATGGTATTGACCTATACCATGTGTGTTAGTTCTTTTTTCCATGCCAGCATTTCAAAGAGATTCCGTTGTACTGTTGCCCCTTGTTTCACTTTTTTTCAGCTTTTGAGCAATGTCAGGGCAGGTCTAGCTTTAACACTGCTTCCCAAACTTTTTTCGTACTGTGACACACAAGGAAATTATTGTTGTGTCACTGAGGAAAACTGGCGGCGACCCACAGAAGACAGCTGGCCTGTGATCTGTGGCTGTCCCATCCCCACCTGGCCATACACTGGCGAGGAGATCCCTGTCCTGTGGCCCATGTGACCATTAGGAAGGTCAGCATTACACATTCAAAGTCTTTGTCCCAAACTCTGCCTAACTATCAAGAGGAACTGTATCACTAGTTAGTCTTTTTTTTTTTTTAAACCAAAGCATGTTATATATTAATTATCCCTTGAAATGTAACCCATTTTTACCTGACCATATCTGGTTTGTGGGGTTAATTTCTTTTTTAAATTATTATTATTTAAGTTTCAGTTGTACAGCATTATAATTCAACATTTATACACACTACAAAGTGATCACTGCCACAAGTCTAGTTACCATAATTATTTTTCTTAAGTCTGTGTCTAATCTGTTTTGCCCTTATGTGCCTTTATGCACTTGGCTAGTTTAATATTTAAAGACCATACTTGTCCTTAAAAAATGGCTTTTTTTAAAGTGTGTGAATGGTAGTTAACTGATAAAGGGGTGGGAAATGCTTTCGTCATGATGCTTTGACCTCATTAGATTATGGGCAGACTTGCTCTGCCTATTTTTAGAAGATAGGGAATTTCTTTTTTTGGGGGGGGAATTTCTTTAAGTAGCTTATTTTATGTTTTCCATTATAAAAGTAATATAGAAAATGTGAAAATACAAAAAGTAGAGTGGGGGAAAATCATTCGTATTTCTGTTTCCCAAATACTGTTAAAGTAACATGGTTTTTCTCATCTTTTTCTTTTTTGTGTGTGTGTGCATTCTTTCTGAATTGTGGAAATTTTCAAACGTTTACATGATAGAGAAAACTCTAATAAACCCCATGTACCCATGAGCCAGCTTCTAATACATCCAGCCAACACAGGGGCCAGTCTTGTTCTACACCCCAAACTCCCAAATGGTTTTGAATCAAATCCCAGAAATAATCATTTCATCTGTAAACACTTCAGTATGTATCTGTCAAAGATAAGAACTAGTTTTCAACGTAACCTCAATACCATCATCACACCTTAAAAAATGTATTCCTTGGTATCACCAAGCAACCAGTCAGTGTACAGATTTTCCTGTTGGTCTCACTTTCTAACACTTCATTTGTTTGAATCATCAGGTTGAAAGAAGGGTCCACACATCATGTGTACACTTTTAATTAGACTAAAACCATATGGGCATTCAGAAGAGATAATGTGGA